ACCAACAAGATTGGGCTCAAGAACAGTGGGTAGCAGGATTATATGTTGAGGAAGAAATCAAAATGCTTCTGAATATATAAGTGGCATTCTGTAATGTACTATGGGCTTGGTCCAGTGTGCTGTGGTGATGGAATCAGTATGTTGTTTCTTATTGAGAAAGCAGGCTACACTTGCTAAAACAGTCAGCTATCCAAATGATGGCCTTATTCTGGGGTTGATGTGTACTTATTAACATTTGGCTATTTAGCTCCCCACTAAAATAGTCATCAGTGAGCGAAGCACAAGACGCTGAAACAACACATCTGAAAATGAATACACATATGCCAGAAAATCTCAGACTATTGGTTGTTGACTGCACAATCCATTTGGACTCAACACATTAACAAGACTTTGGTGAGATACAGGTTGAATATTTTTTCTCAAATGTGTGTGTATGTTACACATGCAGTACAAGTAATGTACAGATGTCCATTTTGGAGTGGGACAACTTTATTCTTGAGCTACTTACACACTGTAAAAGGTCATTCCACTTTGGTGTAGCAGAATAACTTTCCTATGGAAGGTGTCACTGGAAAATTCTGTGGACGTGTACTAAGGTACTAATCTCTAGTGATCACAGTTGTGCATATGTTTAGGAATACCTGAAAGCTGTGCCCTCCCTGTTTTTTCTTATGAGGTTACCAAATTCTACCAGTGAATTACAGTTTATCTTTTGCATAAGCAAATCTGGCTGATAATTTTTGCAGTAGATCCATCCATACAATACCAAATCTGGCTGATAATTTTTGCAGTAGATCCATCCATACAATACCAAATCTAGCTGATAATTTTTGCAGCAAGTCCATCCATACAATACCAAATCTGGCTGATAATTTTTGCAGTAGATCCATCCATACAATACCAAATCTGGCTGATAATTTTTGCAGTAGATCCATCCATACAATACCAAATCTGGCTGATAATTTTTGCAGTAGATCCATCCATACAATACTGCAAAAATTATCAGTGAGATTTGGTATTGTATGGATGGATCTACTGCAAAAATTATCAGCCAGATTTGCAGGTCCATCCATACAATACCAAATCTGGCTGATAATTTTTGCAGTAGATCCATCCATACAATACCAAATCTAGCTGATAATTTTTGCAGTAGGTCCATCAATACAATACCAAATCTGGCTGATAATTTTTGCAGTAGGTCCATCCATACAATACCAAATCTGGCTGATAATTTTTGCAGTAGGTCCATCAATACAATACCAATGACTGAACCAGGATTGAAGACACCTACCTTCACACGGCAAGTGCCAGAACGATCTCTAACATACAATCTTGTGAAAAAATAATTTCTAATATCAAAGCTTGTAAAAACAAGGTTTCTAAACTAATATTGCATCTTGAAAGAACATAATATCTCATACTGCACCTTATATAAAACCTCATGACCTCTGAAAGCTAAACTTGTGTAACCATAACAGCATGACATTTTATATTACAAATTGTAAAATAACTTGACCTCAAATACTGAAACTTGTAAAAATTATGAATTATATAAGTAAGGCTCACATAAACACAACTTCTAATAAAGCAGCTTGTAAAAACACAATCTCTAAAATCAGAGCGTAAAAACAGAGAAAAGTGTGTAAAACCAAATTGCCTCTAATACTAGAGCTTGTAAAAACAAAATCACTACTGCCAAAACATGTAAAACTGCTCAATCTTGTAAGTAATTAAAAATACATCTCTAATACTGGAGGTTCTAGAAACATAATACTTAATCTGAATTTCAAGCATGCAATGGAAGCCTTGAAATAAAATAAGGGCAAATACTGAATAAACAGAAAAAATATCTTTTATTTATGAATTAAAAATAAATTAGAAACACCAATAAAATTAAATATACTGACACTGATGGACTCCAGAAATATCTGTTGATGATTTAACACAATAAGCAATCTTGGCTCCATATTACATTTTTAACAGAACATAACGGATTGGAATGAAAGGATTAAAGCTTTTAGTAATTCTTACCAATAATCACTTAACAAGAAAGTTCAATCTTGTGAATCCAGTACTTACAAAAAAAAGGCACTAATTTTGGTTGTGGAAGAACTAGATTGTTTTGTATATAATTCAGTCATAAGTAGGTCACTGTAAGTCCTTAGACTTACCATTGAACCATCAGGAGACCAAGATGTTGCAAACAAGTAACATTTCTCAGCTTTAAATGGTTGCTTTTTTATTGTTGGAAACTTTTATTATTTCACAACATAATATTCTTTTATGATAGCAATAAGAAATGAATTAGTACAAAACAGTGGATAACGTTTTACAGTTTTAAGAAAACAGTACTTTATTGTGAATTATGTATCCAAACCTTCAAGTCAACCATATGAGAAAAACAATGTAAATATCACATACACTTTTGTAAGAGATGTATATATATAAAATAAAAAAACAATTAAAACATATTCAGCAAAAAAGCTGTACTTGGGTTAAATTTCTGCTCTACACAGGGTTGAGTATGTTATATTGAAACAATTTGGAATATTCACACAGCAAGTCACATGACAACCACAGCTGATATAAAGTCACAGTGCAATAGCATGTGTGAGAACAACATTTTGACATCGTTTGGTATTTTTTAGGTAGCACGATGCAACCAAAAACCAATTACTTTGGGGAAGAGTATGTAACAGTCGTTTCTGACACAAAATACTCATACACTCAGATCATATAGATGTGTTTAAGATTGTACTTAATCCCATTGACAAAACACAGGAATGTGGGTCAACTTTAGGCACCAGGACCATTCAGAAAGACTTGCAACAAGTTGTACACCAGCCATGATAAACAAAATGCAGTATCTTGTAACAGGTAAGAATCCACAAATACAAAGTTCAGTGGCAAAATCTGTTCAAGCACCCCAGGTAACATAACACAACATAATAAAGAAGACTCTCTATATGAAAAATCAACAAAAGTTGCTTCTATATCTGTTCAACCATATCACACCTCAAGAAGCTAGAGAAAGAAATGTATATACCCTTCAAGTCACTGGATGCAGCACCTATGGATTTCTGTGTGTGATTAGAATGTTGAAAAGGGTGCTGGGAAACTGTCATCCTTGTACACTAGATGGATTGTGGAAACCCATCAGGGAGGAGTGGTTTGCTTTGGACATGACAGACTTACAATACAACCTTTCGTAATGGAAACTACACTGAAAAGCTATTGTCATGATGTATGGTTCTGAGATAAAACATGACTGAATGTGGTGACATGGACTGTAATGATATGGTGAGGCTCCAAAATATTCTTAATATTACACACTCAGCCTCTGTATTACTTTATTACAAACAATGAACAAACCATTTTAGCATTAAAAGTTGTGTTTGGGTCCTTGTATAATTTACAACAACTTATGTTAAATTAAAAAAATTAAGGAAAATATGACACAAACCCTATTCCGTAAAACTCTTATAAAGAATGGAACTCAAAAATTTTCATTTACTTAATATAACTCAACTATCAGTTAGAGCAGCTGAAAACTGAGCAAATGTAATGTAATCTAAGCATTCGTTAAAAAATCAATTTTTCCAGACAACTGCTAGATAACTTAAATACTTAAAGTTTAGAAACTCATAACTGAAGAAGAATATTGGTTTATCGAGCTTTAACGACTATGTTTGCACAACAAGAAATTGTTTTCAGCAGATTAAAACACTAATTTATTTTATGACAGTAACTTCAAGTTTAAATTTACCAATGAGTTAATGAATAAAAAGTTATTTAGTTATTCGTATATTAATTTACTTAAATAATTATTTGAACCTTGAAACCAACTTCTGCTGATCATGTAACAGCAACAATCTAAGTTATACTTTTTATCTTGTTTCTGTTAGGCCTAACACAGCCATAACAGCTAATTCAACAGTAACCGTTTTCTCCTATTTATCAAATGTTTTTTTGATCCAGAAAATACTGCTTTTAAACAAAGAAGACATGGTAAAATAATTTTGTAGGAATTCAAAGCAAAAAATGTATTCAATATATAAAACACTTGAAAGATAATATTTTTTAAAAGTTAAACTTCTGTTTTGACAGAAGAACAAAAACTGCTCTTTCATCGTAATCTGAAGATCAGACAGATAGCAAACATAAAAGGTATATACTAGTACTGGATGAATAACATTTTTGAATACTTGAGGTTCAAGTATTTTTATAAAAACATTTTGTTTCTTTCTTCCTTACAAATTCTTCATCTTGCAATACTAAATTCAATGTGCAGAACATAATGAAATCAGAAATGGAATGCACATTCTTGTTATATCAGTCACTTACTTGTAATGATTTGTTTTCTGGTACTTATGAAAGGCTATCTGCACTTGTCCTCTCTAATTTTGACCTGATAGTTAACAGCATCTACTACCAATTCTTGAGATACTCTTGTCTGATCGAATAGGCAAATTAACAGTTACAATTTATTATGTCCCAAAGAAAAGAAAACAATATTTTCTTTGGTAGCAATGGGATGAGAGCAATGGACCTGCAGATTCAGAGCCTGGAAAGCTAATCACTGATTATTGCCCAATAGTAAATTTATAATGACCTTTATTTTTAACAAGAGTTTTAGTTATCACTAAAATATTTTAATTCAATCATCTGGCAAGAGACCTGAACTGATTAATTATTTATCTTTTACCCAAAAGGTTTTCTTAAAGAACAAAAATCACTGAAAAATCAAACAAATTCCTCCTTAGAAATTTATCTATGACTATTTCTAGTATTTCTCTAACTTATGTGAACTGGTCTGAAAAAAATAATTCTAAAGATGCAACTGACAAGTTAAAAAGATACAAGTACAAATAAATAGGACTCACAAGAAAAGACAGATTAAGCTATGTAGGCTCTGCAACTTCCTCAATTTTGTTGTTTTTAAGTGTAATACTTCTACTAAACATTCAAGTTTTTAAAATATGGAACATGGGATAAAATGTATTTAGCTTTAACAGTTTAGAAGAAAAACCTTAATAGTTTCTTTTTTTTTTGACTGGATATAAATATATACTGTTAAGTATGGACACAGTTCAATAAACTGTGAGGTTCACAAAGATACACAAAACTATAATTCAGTATGACTTGGAGGACTTTTTGAATTTGTTATATTGTGTTTGTTTTGGAAAACAGGATGGTTTTTAACATGATATACTGCTATATTAACCAATCGTACAAATTCATGTACATCAAAGGCATAATTTGTAAATTTGGCATGTGCTCCAAGAGTGGGGTGATGACCCTAGAAAAGAAGACAAGAACAAGTCTTTCATACAATACATATTTGTATCAGCTTCTAAAAACCTTTTCCATTTAACTAGCTCACACAAAATTGAGCTTTACTATCTTGTATAAAATACTTAAATGTTTTCAAATATTTTATCCATGTGGTTTTTAAGCTTTGAAATGCCATTAACCATTTTAATGTAAGCTTCATCTTTGTATGTCATATTTTTTTTCAGTAGTAGCCATTTACATTTTATCTAAATTGGTCTTAAATAAAATAAAGGATTACTGCCATTTTTTGCTTTACATAACTATGACTTTGCAACTCAAGGCAACTAGTACTTAAAGAATGATATTTAAATATGGATTCCATGGTGATTTTATCATTTGGAATGTGTCGAAACATTTTTCTGAACTTACAATTTATGAAGGAAAGACAATTTATAATTAGGGTTAATTAGAACAGAAATTTTAAGAAAAGTATGATTCCAGTTAGTTGCAGGTTAAAAGATTATTTTCAACAACTAAGGATATAGTCAGTATAATTACCTTATCCTCTGGGAAGAGCTTGTCTCTTTTTTCCCAGGTGATGTATTTAAGTCCTCGTAACCTGGCAAGATCTCTATAACAGTTCTCATCTTCACAATTGAAGCTGGAATAATCTTATTTATTAATATGGTATAAAGAAGGTATTATTAACCTTTGATTGAGAGTATGTTGTGCAATCAACAACAGACTACAATTCACATTAAAAACTAATTTTTTGAATGCAGATTGTTAATGACTTATTTCATAATAATTGAAGAAAATTCCCATCTTTTACCAGACAATAAACATAACTCTGCATGATGATTTACAGTTTAATTACTATTATCAATATCAGAAACAAAACAAAAACACTATTTTCAATCCTGAGGCATTAAAAAAGCATGTTCGAAGCACAGAAAACTTACAAGTCTAAAATTCAAAAAATAAAATACTATGATAATTTTTACACACAAATTATTTTCTTATACTGAAAATATATTTCTGAAAGGTACTTACCTCTACTAACATGTATAGCTATTCTTGTTCAGTGCTGCCCACTATATATAAATGTTTTGCATGGCACGAGCCTTGAATTCCCAAATACCCCACAATCAACGTGGATCAACTGGATCACACAACAACCCTCCACCAACAGGAGTGTGACACCCTCCTGATGGATGTGAAATCTTCTATTCGATTTTGCCGAACTATCACTTCGTGATTAGGCAGAAAAGGAAGCACTGGTTTTCAGTGGGAAGGAAAAGTAGGAAGTTTGGGTGGAGGTAAGAACCTATCAGAAATATATTTTCAGTATAAGAAAATAATAACTTCCAATACGGTACTTTATCTGTGCTCACGTGTATAGCTAGAAGCTCACATTGAATAGGCAGAGGGACCAGTGTGACGGATAGAAAGAAGTATCCTTCAAAATTGTTCGAAGAACACCCCTGAAGTATGATCTCCGTTGAGAGAGTGACACGTGTGGGAGACTGTACAACTTCTGTTCCAGGTATACTCTTTACTCAATGTGAAAAGAGGTGTCACATACACAGGTAGAAAGTGGGAAGAACACAACCAAAAAGGGAGAGAAAACTGGGTGGGTTGGAATCTACACCATTTTCACCTCAAGTTAAGTAGAACAGAGTATATACAATGCAAACTGATCTACAAAATGGGCATGTGTGCACAAATCCACAGCCAACCATACATCCAGTAACCTGACATTTGAACGACAGTAGGAAGAGATGTGCCAATGTGGCAGGTCACATCAAACTCAAACAGACTGGCACTTCACTGTGCAACATCAGTTGCAAGTGTTGAAAACTCCCTGAAGTTGTGCACAAGAGAGTGAGAGATACATTGCCCCAATCAACATTATCTTCTGGATAGGACCATACAGAAGCCAGAGTGCAATGCCACCCTTCAGGTACTACCGCACAGAAATGGATTGCCTCTAGAAATATATAGCATCCTCATCCTATAGAGAGAACTGCATAGAAGCCGGTTGCAACATCAAACTCTGGGACCCACCACACAGAGGCGGAGATCATGAAGCAAACTGAGTGAGAATTTATGTTGATTGGTCCAGCTCTAATCCAAAACCACTCATTGGTATAGGAGGATGAGGGAGGGATCCCAAATGGATGGGTGAACTGCAATATGATTAATACCAAAGCAACATCATCTTCCAGATAGGACCACACAAAGGCTGGAGTGAAATTGCAACCTCTGGGTCCAACTGCATGGAAGTGGATTGCATCTGTAAAATATAAGCAACTTCACCCTCCTGATAGAACCACACAGAAGCCGTGATCAACATGAACTCCTGGGGCCCACTGTATGTAGATGTAGCGTATTTATTTATAGATACATGCAACATCATCCCTCGGATAGGACTGCACGAAAATGGATTGCATCTATAAAATATAAACAACCACACCCTCTGGATAGAACCACACAGAAGCTGGGCACAACATCAACATTCAGGACCCACTGCACAGAGATGGAGCTCATGACTGCAGGACCAAACACCATCTACACTAGCAGAACACCACTGCCATGCTCTCAAATGAATGGAAGCAATCACCTTGAAGAGAATTCCTCTGTGGTCCACCACCCAAGTAGATCAGAAATGGAAAGTGGCAAAGGATTCCCATACTCCAAAATGTGGTGGAGAGTCCAGAGGAATGTCAACACTGGAGATAGTGCAATGGGTAACCATAAAAAAAACCTATTTTGAAAAGCAGACCACCCCTGATTTATTCAATCGAAGGAATGGCAGGGTTGGGCAGTTATCCCCTTCTCATTTACCCAGGTAAGTCAATGGGTGATTATGGTCCGCAACAAGCATATTATGAAGTAAACATACCCTGAGGAAACCTATGAGAGATCTTGTAGAACACCCCATCTAAACAGTGTGCGATATAAGCCATGGGTATACAACTTGGCTGTACAGTGCAGATTTGAGAAATAGGAAGCAAACCTGGACAGGCAATGCTTGCCACTGACTGGGATCCTGCCAATGAAATGAAAAAATTATATATATAGAAAATATACCTTACCTAATCACAGCCTCAATGAAGTTTGAAGGAAGGCGACAGGTGGAAAATGGTATCCTGATGAGGAAAAAACAGCCACCCAATGAAGATAGTGGGAGATGAATGTATGAGGTGTAGTCCATATGCATGACTGAAGTATTTCCTCCAATGTATGATGGAGATAAGATACAAGGGAAAAGATAAGGTGCCAGATCTGATGCAACAACACCTGGAACAGATTTTGGGAAGAAGGAGTCATGGAGGAATATGCAATTGAATCAATTACCAAACTCAATTGGTAAGGGTAGAAGGAGAAAGGTCACAAACAGAGGATTGTTGCTAGGGGATGAAAAGGTGGGAACAGGAACCATGCAAGGAAGCCAATCATACAATGTAACATCGAAGATCATGTATGGAACATAGAAGTTAATCCAGATCTGACTGGGAATAAAGGTGAGACATGGATGGAAGTGAAATGGTGAGAAGGAAGAATGTTCCTCACAAGCTGCTAAAATTTTAAGGCGGAAGAACCGATCCAGATAAAGGAGAACATATGTGGAATGGTACAGTGTGCGTGAAATGACAATGGCAAACATATCAGACTGATGATGCCCACAAGCCGAAAGGAGAAAGAAATAAATCTTAAGGGATAAGTGAAACAAGGAACAAAAGGACAAAGGTTTAAATGTAGGTGAAGTAAGGTGAATAATTAAAAAAAAAATGAAAAAAAAGGTAAACTATTTTGTCAAAACTACAGAATATCAACTGTAGTAAAATAATTAAATGAAATCACTACTTTGCAGAAAATTTAAAGAAAAAATGTGAATAGAGCACAAATGAAAAACGTCTGCACTATATCACTGCCTAATGAGAAGTGATAGTTTGGTAGAATGGAACAGATGAAGTCACATGCATCAAAAGGGTGTGTTGCACTCCTATTGGTGGAAGTTTGTTGCATGATGATTCACATACGAGATGCAGCTGAACCATGTTGATCATGGGGTATGTGGCATGCAAAAACATTTTTGCATATAAAGGGCAGCATGGAATGAGAATAACTATACATGTGAGTGGAAGTAATGTACTGTATGAGAATATTAACTGTCATCAACAGTGACTCAAATATTGTCATAATATCTTTAATCTACTAAAACCGTTATGATGGTGAAACTTACATTTCAAAAATAACAGCCCAGTCTGGCTGGAACAACATGTGTGTTAATCCTGCACCATGCATGCCAATCAATACATCTGAGTTATGGCTAATCTGAAATAAATAGGATGTTATAGCTTGTAACATCTCTAAAGAAATCATATCTCTAGTTTTATAATCACATAAAATACTGGTTGTGTACTTATCTTATGATTAAAAAATGTAGTTTAGTACAATTTATACATTTCTTAGTTAATCATTAATATTATATGTTTAATAAAAATACAGAAAAAATATCTTACAATCTTCTGTACTGCTAAAAAATACCAATTCCATATACATTTCTCGATAATATTAGTAGCTAACATATGATAGATCTTCAATGCTCAGGGAAAATAACAGAAATCAAAAAGAAAATTGGAAGTTAATTCTGTAATATCTATGATATTTAAATTTCAAGTCATTGTTAAAGTATGGAAAAAAACAAAAAATTTTTGGGCTAACTCCACAATGTATTTCTTAAATACAAGCTTTTAGCCACATTTACAGACTCTTTATTGGATGAGAAATTTGTCATTGTTAGACCAGATGAGTGTTTAGGAAAGTAACAATTCTATAGTTGCAGCTAAAACAAAATCAACAAAATTTTATGATACCAACTTCTATTGAAGCTGATTTTGTTTTAGTGCAGAGCTACATAATGAACTGTCTGTGCTCTGTCCACCACAAGGAATCAACTCCTGGGTTTTAGCACTATAAAGTTATAAACTTATCACTGGATCCACTGGGTGAACTCATTATGCTGCAAGCTCACACTTATTATTATTATTGGTGGTTAGCTTACAATAAAATTGTTTTAAATTTAATCAGTTAATGTTTCAATCGTCTCATGCTGTCCTATACCTTGATACCTTCTTTAGATGACTCGTATTTCAAAACACTTATCTTACTTCTAAAAATCAATTCTTTCATCATTCACAATCTTACCTCTAGTTGTTCAATAAATGGTATTCTTCCATTAAAGTTGACTTTTTTTACAGTACATTCTGGTATTTTTTCTAAAGCTTTGATAAGCTGAAAGATTAATATGAAAACAATTAAAAACTATTTTTAATAATTAAAAGACGTCAAATGGAAAGTGAGTTCATCAAAATCTTTTGTTTGTAAAAACAAGAGGGAATCTTCAATAGCCACAGAGCTTGAAATTCTATTATACTTTTTTTCCTTTTTATCAGCTATATTTGTCTGCACCAGAAATACCAAGCATGTGGGGCACATGTATACCCAATTCAGTTTTATTACTTATCAGGATCTCTACCATCCTACCCCCAAATTGGAATTCTTTTAGGCCGGATTATAGTAAATTAATCTACGAGACCTTGGGCATAGTTAAATACATCAATTGAAAGGGTTTGACATCCTGATTCCAAAACTGTAATTAGATCTCAAATCCATCAAAAGATGATGGAACTATGAGCTAAAACTCGGAGCCATTCTATGAGCTGCTATGCCACGACTAAAAGAAAAATCTGAACATCCTTTGGTTGACAACTTTTCTTAGATATGTATGAAACACCAAAGTCTAAACTACACTTTTGCGTAAAACTCTAAACAAATAATTAATGTAAATTAAATCTGGCCTGCAATAGCACTTACTTTGTCTATGCCATTACACTTGGCCTGAATAATATTAAAGTTTAATGATGATAATTGTAAAGAATGCAAAGAAGGTGTATTTTTTATACAAGTTAACCTTTTTACCTTATTATATTAAATCTGTTCATTTAAAATTTAATAATTAAAGAATTTCTTGAAATTTAATATTTACAATACTACTTTATGTTCCATTATATTTTCATCAGTGCCTCCAAAATAAATCACACACTTATTAAAATAATAAAAAAAACAAGTGCTTACAGGGTTATTCAAAATAACCAGTTAGTCAGGTATTCTATGAAAGAATAAATATGTAACCAACTGTATTGCACATGCTGGATTTATTACTAAAATAAGTCATATTAAATACTACAAGTTTTACTTGAAATTGTAATTTTTTGAAGAATTTTTTTAATAAGAAATTTCAGTGATAAATATTTATAATTTAAGGTAAAATGAACATCGACTTAGAAAAACATCAATGAGGGCAAACGTATTTTTCTGACAATATTTAAACAAAATATAATGAACAGATTTTGATAGAAAAATTATATTTATGATAATATATTAAAATAGGCTAACTTTATCGAAATGGTATTATCTTTGTAATTAAAGAAAACATAACAATAGATATTCTCATAAGAGTTAAAGTTGTGTATTCCCTGTGTAGCCCAATCAGAAACACAACTACAACAAAGAATACAATGTTACCTCATCTTCATTAAGAATTCTACGGTATTGTGTGGATCTTGTCAGAAGAGTAATCCTCACTTTATTTTCCTAAAGGAATAAAAATAAGTTACCAAGTTGAAAACATTATATTTTAAAGTTACAAAACTTGCTACTTCTACTAAAATTAGAAATAATATAAAATTACATAAAAATCATGTGCATAGATTCTGAAGAACAATGAAGAGAATCCCTTCTCTGTGGTATTGAGCTACACCAATTTTTGACAGTTAAGTTACAAGTAATCCTCAACAAGCAGTAAATTAAGGATTGTCAAGCAAAGAATAAATGAAACACAAATGAAAAGGATAAAAAAAAGCAACATTAAACACAATTGTGAAAACAAAGAACAAAAGTATTCATTTGACAAAAAAAAACATGCTTTGGTTTTATTGTAACTGAGTTCTGAAGCAGATAGAAGACAGAAGTAACAATAACGTTATATCACACTGCTGGTGTGAAATTCCAGAAGCCTAGATAACTAACATCAGCAATTACAAATTACACAAATTCAAGGGAGATAAATCCACAGCTTTTATCAACTTGTACAAATCTTTGTCCCATCACTCAATATGAGTATGATGTAAAATAAAAAGTAAAGCAAGTATAAAACCCTCACAGTGTGGTATGTAACCTTTGCTTAAACCATTATTATTAGAACAAACTTATAACCATTTACATGTTGTTTACAAGAACATCAACTAACTAAATGCACATAAATTTTTAAGGATTTACCAAATATACTTGAATAAAGATATATTATTTTCTAGTTATGAAAGGGCGAAATATAGAAACTTTCAACTATAACACCCAAATTAGCACAAGCATAATTAGAAAATCCATATTTCGTTATTTCAGTTATTATTTATTCCTATCATACATTTTCATTCTAATCCCGATGGTCATTAAAATATTACACATTTCTAAATAAGAAAATAATGAACTTTGACAACTGAAACATCTATTAGTACCTTTAAATCAGATTTCTACAAATACTTAAAAATGCATAGCTTATAATTCCATAGAATTAAAGTAAAACTTACACTACTTCTTTGTTGTTTGATTCCCAACCTGTGTATAATGTGCCTATTAAAAGCATGAAAAAGTCCACTTCCTTGACATCCAGGCACCTAGAAGAAAAAACATCTAAAGTAATAATACAGTTGATTTTTAAATAGAGATATTTTAAACAAAAATGGCCATTATAACTTTTATAACAATAACTAAAAAAAAGTATGATCCAAAACAAGAGCAACTAAAATCATAAAAAAAAAAAGAGGATGAATTGAATTTTTACCCACAGCATAGCAGCTCATAAAATGGCTCTGAGTTTTTACAAGTACAAACTTTTAGCTCATAGCTCTGTCATCTCTTGACCAATTTGAGATCTAATTACAGTTCTGGACCCAGGAGGCCAAAACACTGTCAGATCTCATAGATTAAATTAGTCTAATCCTGCCTAAAAGAATTTAAATTTAAGGGTAGGTTGGTATAGGTTCTGATGAGTAATAAAATCAAACTGGGTATACGCGCACCCTATGTTTGGTATTGCTGGTGCACAAAAATATAGCTAATAAAAACATCTCATAGATTAATTTACTCCAATCCTGCTTAAAAGAATTTCAAGTGCCACAGCTATTGAGGATTCCCTCGTGTTTATTTTCTGTTCGAGTAGCAGAATAATTTAGTAGTATGCTTTAAGTATAAAATGTTCAATTTCACTGTTGTGATATTATAAGTTTCTGTTTAATGATATAAGCTGAAATACAAAATGTTTATTTTATAAATATTCAAGCTACATAAAAACACTTACAAAAAAATCTAAATTATAATTTAGAAGATCAGCCAAGATTAATCAAAATGAGTAATGCAAAATGTTAAAAAAAAATTCATTTTGTCATTAAAAGTTGAACAGTAAAAATGATGGCACTAAGTTGATTCATAAGTCAGAAATTCACTGTTGTTAGTCCTTTCGGGTCCCCCAGTATGGACCTGCAATGCTAACATTCACGGTTTGGTTCCCTATGGTGGACAGAGCTTAGACAGCCTATTGTCTGGCTTTGCAATAAAACAAACAAACAGAAGATCTTTCACATTTAATTCTAAATTTATTGAAGTACATTTATATCAATATATTAAATAGTTTAGCATAGCCTTCTGCAATAAGAAGTCAGCCAGTAGAGACATGCAAGTTGGTATTTGTAAACATACAACTGACTATAAAAGATAATGTAAAAATTACCAAAGGCATATTGTAATACATTCCAAATATCATTCTTGGCAGCAAGGGAAAAACAGCATCCATGAAACACACCTAGAAAAATAAATAAACCATCAACTGTTAAAAGCTTGATATTAACTTAAAACCAAAGATTACTTTTCTTTGTTAAAGAGTGTTAAGTTTCGTTTTAACACACTGCAGATGGGTCACGAGTTTCATGCAGAACATCTTTGTGTGCCATTTATTAAAACATTGCGTCGAAAGGAGTCGGATACATTTTATTTTGTTGTGGATGGTTATTATTTTTCTGATTTTTGCTTACACTATCCATATTTTTATAAATGGCCTCTTGCAGAAAACGTAATGTGTTGAGCGAAGATGAGATTATTACTGAACTATTCAATGATAATTTGTCAGATCTTCCAAGTGAAGGTGAAGATTCTGATGTGGATGTACTTGTGGATCATTCTGACAGTGATTCCAGCTACAGTGATGTTGTTAGACCTACAATGATACATAAAGCTGTTGTGCTCTCAACTGATTCTAAATCAGAAAGTGATGATGAGTCTACAATTGTCCCTGTTAGTGATTTGTTTTCCCATTGTGATAATGTAATTGGTCAGAAATAGATATTTCACTGAACTTGGAAATGTTTAAAGGAAATCCAGGGGTCACTATAACTCTATCCAAACCCAAAAGTATTGCTGTCATGAAAATTCTAATGTTTGGTGATGACTTGTTTGAAACGTTTTGTCAGGAAATGTGTACCTACCATAATCAAACAGCAGAGAAACATAAAATGTCATCTAAAGAACTTCAATGGTCTGAAATTACACCTACAGACATGAGAAAATTCCTAGGCCTTATTCTACTAATGGGACAGACAAGGAAATACAACTGGAAAGATTACTGGTCAACAGATCCTCTTTTTATTAGCCCAATATTTTTGCAGACAATGAGCCGAAACAGATTTGAACATTTTGGCATTTCAGTGACAATCAAAAAATGGATGACTCTTCAACATTCAACCAGTACTGGATTATTTCCTCAATAAATTCAGGACACTATACAAACCAAAGCAACAGTTGTCATTGGATGAGGGCATGATTCCATGGAGAGGATGTCTAAGATTCTGAACATACAACCCTGCAAAAATTGTAAAATATGGCCTGCTGGTGAGAATGGTGTGTAAGAGTGATACAGATTATATTTGTACTGGTGAGGGGAAAACATTGGGGGAGACTATTCTTTCAGTTTTTTCTCCCAATCTTTGATTGTGGCACCAAGTATACCAAGACAGTTATCAAAACAGTACTTCCATTGCAAACCTGTTCCTAGAACATAAAACAAGAGTCTGCAGAACAATCAGAGTGAATAGAGGGTTACTGCCGAGCCTGATGTTTCAACAATAATATCAAAAAAAAAAAGTGAAACAGCTTTCCGAAGAAAAGATGATGTTCTCGCTTTCATATGGAAAGACAAGAGAGAAGTGAGAATGGTTTCAACCATCCATGACTCATCTCTTTCTACCACAGGAAAGAAAAATAGAATAAGTGGAAAAGAAATAAGAAACTGCAATACAACATCCACATGAAAGGCATTGATCGTGCAAATCAGTATCTTCCATACTACATCATTCTCAGAAAAACAGTGAAATGGACAAAAAAAAGGTAGTAATTTATCAAATAAATTGCAGTCATTCTCAGAAAAACAGTGAAATGGACAAAAAAATGTAGTACTTTATCTAATAAATTGCAGTCATTCTCAGAAAAACAGTGAAATGGACAAAAAATGTAGTACTTTATCAAATAAATTGCAGTCATTCTCAGAAAAACAGTGAAATGGACAAAAAAATGTAGTACTTTATCAAATAAATTGCAGTCTTTTTAATTGATATATAATCTACAAAGCCCTGAATTAACAGAAAACAATAAAATATAAGCAGTTCCTCCTCTCTGTGGCAAGAGAATGGATTACCGACAAAGACAAAAAAGGCTCACTGGAACTAGAGAGAAATGAACCCGGTCCATCATCTGAAGGTACAAGGAGAGCCCCACGTAAGGATCCCCCAGGAAGACTGTCTAGTGAAATGATGCAGCATATTCCTGTGTTCATTTCATCTGCAGGAAAAAAGAAATTTCCTGACAGAGCCTGCAGAGATTGCATTGCCCATGGGAAAAGAAGTGAAATGCAATACATATGCAAGTTTTGTATGGTTCCACTCCATCTAGGAAAATGTTTTACAAGATACCATACTTTAAACATTTACTAAGTGTCTTCATGTACATACTCTGTAAGTTTCAAATAACTAATAAAAAATATTGTTGAGTTATGAACAAAATAAAACAAAATACTTTATTTTTAAAGTGCCTGTGTTTCAGATATAGTGACATTTCTGAATTATTAATTTCAATGAATGCAAATGCAGACAATATTTAGAAATTGTTCATGCTTTAAATAATTATATTTAAAAAAAAAATCATGATAATATAAATATTATACCAACCTTTTGTCCTTTAAATTGACCAAGGTTTAATAAAGGAAAATTTGTAAAAGCTTTCCATGTAATACCAAAATTACTACGATATGGAATCTGGGAAAATACAAAATATAAAATGAACTTATATCTTCATAATTTAATTTGGTTTACACAAAAACACACAGATAATATTATTAATAACAAAAGAGAAGTTTTAATTAAAGTACAAATCCAAGTCTTAAGACCAACTGTTCAAAATACTGTGTAATTTGTAAACCGTAGGCAACTGTTATGAAAAAGGTGAAATCTTTCGTCTATTGTTTTTTTGAAGCTAAAAATTATTCTATGATTAGCTCATTAGATTTTAAAACGATTTTTTTATAACTATTTATGCCCCAAACTGTTTGTGGGCTCATAACATTGTTAGTTATAAGATCCCAAAGAAGTAGCTAGAACTAGACAACCAACTCAATTAATGGATTACTTATTAGCACTGATGACATCAATGAGTATCACATAAAATAATCAATTAGTTAAAATTGCAATTAAATATATTAATGTCACGAAAATAGTTATCTAATCAAATTAGTGTTTCTGATTATTCCAACTATCCATGTAATTGAAACACTGGCATTATGATTTGTTGTTATTATTTTCAATTAAATCAAGGTTGTTCAGCTTAACTGATTAGTGTCACAACTCACAAAAATAATAAACTAAAGGAAATTAGTGTTTCTGATTTTTCCAACTATCCAAGTAATTGAAACACTGGCATTATGATTTGTTGTTATTATTTTCAATTAAATCAAGGTTGTTCAGCTTAACTGATTAGTGTCACAACTCACAAAAATAATAAACTAAAGGAAATTAGTGTTTCTGATTATTCTAACTATCCAAGTAATCACAACATTGGCTATCACTGCATACGATGGAATTAATGCATTCTACATGTATACAACTCACAAATGTAAGGGAGTGGCCTTGTATCTTTTGGTTATATAACTAGTCACAGTGATGATTATTGTTTGGAATAAACAGTAGTGTTAGTTTACCTTAATATATTTCTTACTTATTACAAACTGTATACATAACCAGCATTACTTGGAGTAAGACTGCTTTAATAAACAAAGTTACATGAAGTAAGTATTCATTGTTCTTTATTAGCTCAAAAAAATGCTGATTGCTGAATAATTTGCTCATTTAACTGTGTCAGAAATTATTAGAAAAACAAAACATGGACTAATGATATAAAAGCTTGCTGGTTAATAAAGCCTTATATTTTAACAAGATACTTCAGCCTGTGAGTTGATTTTGACATTAATACATCTGTGCATCAAGGACTAATAATAATCTAACAGTATATAATATTGCTACTTTTTGTAAGATTGCTTCAACGAAAAAAAGTTACAGAAAGGTATTATTCATTATAGTTTATTTGATAATAGCTTTCCATTTAACTCTGTGTGTGTGTGTCAGAAATTACTTAGACATGGACTAATAATATGTGACACTGTTAAGTTGTTAACTTATTTAGATAAACAGGACTCCTATTTAATTACCACTAGCTCTAGCTAAAAAAAAGCACTGAAAATGTAAAACAAAAGTCTGACTGTCATCACATGCCACTTAGCCCTCATCAAACCAGCACAATATAACCATTAAGTAAAGTCTGGATTGAAATTCCAAAAACCAATTTCATTACAACTTGTATTATGGGTAGCATGCAATGTGAACAACATAACAATGTTTGTATTCTAGAGGAAATATGTTGACAAATCAAGATATTACAAAATCACGTTGTTCCTCAGTATACAAATAAGTAGTATTAAACCATTCCTTATACAAACAGTGTATCAAAAAAATGCTGATGTTTTATTATAATCCTATATTCAAGGCATTATCCACCAATATATGATGAGATTCCACAATACCGCAAAATCCAACTAAAAAAAAACTGAAAGTGTATGTTGTGGGTCACCTTAGGTCTGACCAGACTCCAACACAAATGTATCTTTATAGTAGGCAATGCATTGAAAATCCAATAAGTAGGTTATGTACAACAATTATCAAACAAGGTTTCTATAAAATAGGGCATTATAAGCAGTCATCACAGAGAACACTGGGATTCACATACATGCTTACCACAATACTGTACTACTTTGATGAATTATCCTCCACAACAGCCTTTATAATGCAATAAACATAAATTTGTTTCGTATGCTATAGGGTAAAGTGCATGCATGGTGATGGACAATGATAGTAAGGACCCCAGATAAATATTAGTTTATAGCTATGCACTCCATCTGCCTGTTTTGAAAACAATAGTATTATATTGATCCAGGGTTTCTGCTTGACAATTACATGAATTGATATAAATTTATAATGATTACGTAAAAAAAATATACAACCGAGAAAGTCATGGAGGTTCATGTGACCCCAGGGGTGCTTATAAGGGTTAAACATTGCCTAATACAGTAAGCTTTAACTTGTTTAATTTACTGATTTCTCAGCACACACACACACGTTTCTACAGTTTTCTTGTAGGTTGTACCATAAAATGTAAATGTATTAATCATTTAAAAGTGTTCTTTCTAAACTTCTATTCATATCAAAAACTTCTTGCTTAAAAGCTTATCTTTTTTAATACTTGTAACACTTCTAAGTGTGTGTTTTTAAGTTTGTGTTTGATTGAATTAGAGACGACTGTAATTAAAGATTTCTTTCATATTACTGTAATTTTAATATTTCTATTAATACTTTAATTTATACCTTATAAATCATTGTAATTTCTACAAATAGGTTATCTAGCATCATCACAGGTTTTCTTGCCAAATAGTAAATGTCGTACTGTAGTTTTCCTAGGATCAGAGTGAACCTTTACTAGTTTTATCACAATAAATCTAATGACAATTACTTCTAATAAAGAATTAGTTAATTTAAATATAGTAGTCTTGTGAAAAGTTGTTGAGAGAAACTCAAAAAAGAGTATTAATAATATTTCCAGCTTGTTTCAGATTTTGTATTGTTATGTATATGACATAGTTTTCTGGACAATAATTTAAGATTAATAAATGCAGCTAACTCTTAAATTGTTGTAAGTGAAGATGTCTAAAAACCTTAAAAAAGCAGAAAATAGGAAGATTAGTCTCATTTAAGAATAATATATTAGTTCAATGTAATCAACTAACCCTCTTGCTATGGGCTCGGCCCGATCCGACTGAGTTCACGATGCCCAAATGGCCATCAGTTTCCATATGTTTTGTGTATCTTCACAAAAGTTGGCAAGCTTTCAGTAAATATTACAAGTCTTTTGTACACAAAAAAATCAGATTCTTTAATTAAGCATTTTTATTAAAGATTTGCTCATGAATATGTAGAGTCAGTGTTGAATGCTCTAAGTTTAAAGTGATTTTCACATAAAGATTAAAAATACTTTTCTTCACCTGAAACTTTCAAATTTCATTTGCATAACTTCAAAAACCTTCTAAATAAATATCAAGCTTTTTTTCAGCAAAAATTAAATAAATCTAAAATACCCTTTTTTTCTTTCTAGAAGTAGAATTACTGCAGATTGTAACATGAAACTACAATTGTTTATTCTTTTATTGCCCTTTGAACCGTGTCTAACTAATAATCCCACCACACAAGTTGTAAATCATTCAGCCAATATGCAGCTCACTAGAATACTTTGTGAAGATTAATGTTATTATTTTTCATTATCTTACCTAATCTAAAATAATAAGTTTGTAATTTTTACGATGTAGTTACTTTTATAATAATAAATAAAGAATATACATGGAAAACAAGAAATATATCACTTACCTGTGATCTTATTTTTTTGCTGTCAGTTGCAGATAAAATTTAAGCCTACTTTTTTATACTAATAGTACTAGTATACTACTTTTTTTATTTATTTAAATAATTCACCTAAGAACACAGGACAATAACATGAACAAAGCAAACAATATCATACAACTATCATAATTTTTCTGGCTTCTTAACTTTAGTATAAGAGCCTTTATATCTTATCTTAAGCTTGAAGAATGCAACTGAAAATTTCAAACTAAAAAAGGAATAGACAATTTTCTGCACTGAAACAACGTAATATATCATTTGATAGATTAAAACCTTGGCTTTCTATTGGTTATAAGTAATATAGCATAAAATGTCAGAGAAAGAACTATTGGCACTTTGTAAAAGAGAGGAAGTGACAGGTGGGCGAGGTTAGTGGGGCTGTCTTTCTAGTTTATGTCTCCATAAACAAACAAGATTGAAGGCTATAAAAATTATGTTTTCCTTAGCAATATCTATATTATGATGAATAATATATGTTCAATTCTGTACTTCTCAGACGGGTGGTAAATAAATTAGAGAAGAGGGAAGACCAAGATAACAAATGCCAAAATTCTCATACTAGGAGAAACTGAAGATTTTAAAATATTTTCTTTGAAAATTAAGAACTTAAAACTTGAATAATATTCAAACTTGGTTCATTAACTATGTTTTGATGCAAAGTTTATTCATATACAATGATAATAAAGTAGTTTAATTAAATTTTAAATGTAACTCTCTAAAAGGTCATGACATGCACACTTTGACCTACCGAAAGCAAGAGGGTTATTGAGCCTGATAATTTAATAAGTAGCAAATTCTACTAATTCCCCAACTCTAAAAGTAACATATGATGATGTAAACAAAAATACTTTCAATATTATAATTATCACTAATTTCTGTTGGGGTCACTTATGAGGTCTGTAGATATTAATTGAGTAATTTCTTATCAGTTCTTTACTTTGTTTTAACAAGCAAAAATATAAAATTACTAAACAGGATGTAATATGTGGACTTCACCAGCAGTGAACAATATAAACGCAAGTTGGTAATTTGAGAGTTATTCACGAGTATTTAAAATTTTCTGTTATCATCATTCTAAGATTGTCTAGCTTACAACCTTTCAAAAAATATTATAAAATAGAAAACTGAAGACTCACAGTATCCCATATAAATATATATACATCCTTAGAAAAGGTATTGTTTAGGTGCAGTGATGCATACAAGTTGAAGAAATCACAGAAATGGTGGTACATATTGACAGCTACAGAAAAAGATACCAAATACACACACATAAACATCTTTCTCATATATAATCACAAAAAAAAACAACAAAAAACAATTTATCTCAGTAAAAATAGAAATCTTATTAAATAGAAACTAAAAGAAAGAAATACATTGCAAAAAACAACAAACTTGTAAATAATATCTACTTATTGGTTTCAATTTTTTAATGCATTAATCCTATATATAAATATCTTAAAATATTTTTATGATGGAAGTATTTACAACAATTATTTGCATCTAGTTTGAAATAAATATTTAACCACTTAGTTGCATTTAGTTTTAAAATAACTTAGTTGCATTTAGTTTTAAAATAACTTAGTTGCATTTAGTTTTGAGACAAATATTTACACCACTTACTTGCATCTAGTTTTAAAATAAATGTTGGTCGATCAATGATGGCATCACACATTTGCTCCTTGATGGGATGACCAGGTAACTCTATAAAATGTTCAAGTTCTGCAAACCTATATATAAAATGAAGAGGTACAGAGATGATGACAAATTTCAACTATAATTTTAGCTTTATTGGTAGTTTAACCAGTGCAAGATGGTAATATCCAATAATGTTTATTATTTGACAATAGACATTGTGGTGTAGATCTAAGTGATTAAGTTGTATTTGCTAGCTTACATTAAATTATTCAACTAGTATAGCAATCCTGACACCTGTTAGTGTTCCCTGCATGAGGCAGTCATCATCCATTTTCTGGATGTTGTCATTTGTGCATTTTGCTAACAAAAATATTTTTGGCTAAAAAAATTACTTTGGCACAAGTTTTTGAAAAAATAATCTGAGCATGATGTCAAAGGTTAATTCCTGCTCTTCAGCCTTTCTGGAAACATCATTTGTTTGCCATGCGGAGGTTATTTAAGTTAACAAGTATTGTAAAATTACTAACATGATAAAAATTAATTTGTTACATCTTGTATATAATTTTATTGAAAGAATATACACGTTTTTTTTTCTCAACTAGTGTATAGCTCGTAAAAAATGATAGGGGGGGGGGGCAAGTACAACCACCCCCACCCAATAGTATACCATAACCTCACATTTCATAGCAAATTGAAATAAATAAACTTTGCAAAATCAAACTTGATCAAGAAAGAGGCAGAAAAGTGCAGTCGAGGCAGTCAAACATTGGTAAATTCTTTTGTGAGTCAATCAAAATTAAGATCTTTCATGAAATGAATTTGTGGCATATTCATAGAATAATTATTGGTAAAAATCAGTTATATTAACAACTTCTAATATATAGGAAAGACAGTGCATTTTGGTAACACTAAGTTCCAATAATGGCTTCTATGTCATGTTTCTTAGCAACAAATAGATAACCTAATATTGTTGTTAATCTATGTACTGAAAGTATAAAATTAGATGTACAGACAACAATACTTCAAAAATACTTGTTGGTTTCTTAATTAAGAGTCTCCATTGATTAAAGAGGTTTGTTTTATTAAAAATGTTGGTGATATAACAGAAAATAGCTTAAGTTTAAAATTGAACTGATATTTTTACTTTCATGATAAATTTTATGCATTTGGCTCTAGGCTAGGTGATTTCACACAACATCTTTATTTTGGGCTTATTATACCAACACTTATTATACTTGTAAGGTTTCAAGGCACTGCCCCATCACTAAAATCATAATGGGCAAGCAGTAATGGAACTATTCTATCTGGATAAATGCATTTTGGCTTTTATGACTCCTCCTATTTGGAGAAATCAAGTGTGATGTGACGTGTCAAACACTGGCTTTTATATAGGTTAGACTGTCCATTCAACATCTGTATTACAGTATTTTTAATAACTTTGGATTGAAATTATGTGAATAGGAAGAATTGCTATTTTTCAACCAAATAACATTTATTTAATACCATAAAACTGACAAGATTAATTCATGCTTTTTCTGACCAGATTTTTTTTTATTTCTTATATTTTTGGGTCACTGTAGGCTTCCAGGGAATTGTTAATTTTCCAGAAATGGTTGGCACAATTGATGCCACTCATACCTGTATCAAAGTACCAAAATAGTCCAACTTTTCATATTACAGCCATAAATGTTGTTCTTCGATAGTATTGCAAGCTGTATGTGACCACAAGTAAGCAGATTGTTTTGTTGTTTTTGCAGGATCAGTACACGATGAAAGTTTTGCAGGATTCCTATTTATTTCAGAAGGCTTTAACCTCAAAATATGAGTTGTTAATAGTAAACCATATACATGCACATCACAATACAATTAGCACAACAGCTAATAATAAACACTGAATACAGCATAACCATAAATGGAGAAATTAAAAGTGAATATTAATAGGAAATAATGAAAAAAAGTAAGCCAACAATACATTAACATGTCCCAAAAATTGACACTGAAAAATTAATCTGAAAACAGTAATTCAGTATATATATGAATTACAATTTATGGTAAAAAAAGTATAACTACATCGAGATCAAAATGCAGTCAATTTTGTAACACGGCTTTATTAACTAAATATAACTTGTAATTAATTTTGTCAAATTTGGGTGAAATGCTAATCATATGATTTCTAAGGTTTTATAATACATAACATTTAAGCTCATAAAAGGCTGTCTTTGTCCATGTAAGCTGTCTCATACACTAAACTAGCAAAAACTCAAAGCCAACCCTTACCATCAAGCCTTTCCTTAAAATTAAACACCTTTAAATTTATTGCTTCCACCACATCCAAAGGCAACCCATTCCATACTAGCACTGTTTTGTATATTTCTAGTTAATGATGTTACTTCATTTGGTTTTCAGTTGATCCAGTGCAAATACATATCTGTGTATCCACATAAAGAACATTTGCCATGTACGATTTCTTGTTAAGTTGCTATGTATGCACAATGTTATATTTCCCATACATAACAAAACAAGACCACCTCCAAAAAATGTGAACTTCATGATGTAACTAAGTTTAAAATGTGATAAAACTGGTAATACAGCCATTAAGTGTGACATCATATCATCATGATGTAACTAAGTTTAAAAAGTGATAAAACTGGTAATAGAGCCATTAAGTGTGACATCATATCGTCATGATGTAACTAAGTTTAAAAAGTGATTAAACTGGTAATAGAGCCATTAAGTGTGACATCATATCGTCATGATGTAACTAAGTTTAAAAAGTGATTAAACTGGTAATAGAGCCATTAAGTGTGACATCATATCGTCATGATGTAACTAAGTTTAAAAAGTGATTAAACTGGTAATAGAGCCATTAAGTGTGACATCATATCCTCATCTTTTTTCAAAACATCTCATTGCCACATGGTTACAAAGATAGTTGTTAATGTTGTATAATGGCTCTCCGTGTATGCTATAGTTAATTTTTTCTCTGAAGAACCACAACTTATTAAAAAAGGACAATATTCTTACAATAGCGGACACATTTTAAAAGCAAGCTTGTTTCCCAATGAAAAGATTAAAACTGAGGGAAAATTCAAGCTAGCATGAAAAACAAACTATATGACATTAAGATAAACCTTATATCACAGTTATAAATAATGTAGTAGTCAAAGTAGTTAGTGGTTAAGACTACTGTTTTTATGCATAATGTATAAGTTTGAATGATTTTGAATTTCCTGAGTACTTTAGAAGTTGAAGATTGATTCATTGTGGAAAATTATAGCATACGGAAAATGTATTTTTGTACAAGTTTATATTAAAACAGGAATGTTATCATTTCTTTCCACATGGAAATAACAAAAGATATGGTTTCTAATGATGTAATAGGCTCTTTCTTGTCATTGGGTTTGACCTGCACTTGTTACAAGTGAATTTATTTAGTACCGAGAAATTTTGTTGCATGCAGTTGTGGGCAAGCCTCACAAGCTGCCAACTCAAGGAAATTTATGTAAAAAACAAAGAAACAACTTGTAGACCAGGTAACACAAAATTTATATTTAACTGACCAAGTTCTGACAATTGAAACAAGTAATACATTTTTTCAATCTCTGAAAGGAGCCACACCCACCTTCATCAGATTAGTTTGAGCTTTATAGCCTACATCTAGATGTTACATACACATGTATAATCATTAGAAAGAGATAATTTTACAATATAATTTAACAATGATTATTTAGAATTTGGCACATAGTTGTTTCTACTGATTACATGTAATTGACTCTAGTATTGTTGGCTGCTTGATTGACTATAGCACTTACGATTGTTTCTTACCTAGAGTTTAAATTGTATTTAGGTCTTCCTATTATATTTTAGTTAATTATGGGTTAGTTACGTTTTAAAATGCATAATTAAAAAGTTTAAACACTTTTTAAATATACATCATACTTTGCATTTATTCTTAAGACTTGCAATATTATGCACTGAATTAAAATTTTGCCAAAGGGTTATGCATGTCTCCCAAAGAAACCGTAATATGCCTCAAAGGCATAGTTGACTTGTGTTGAGATCAACAATAAGTGGAAAATAATACATTCAAAAATAACCATATGTGAAAAGGAAACGACCAGAAATTACGAATTTAACAAAAGAAAAAGCTTTACTCTTATTCTACAAAAAATTAAAAGGTATGAATTTTTTTCTCTATTTCCTAATTTTGATTATTTCATTGCATTGTACATTGATGATAATAGCTAC